AATGAGTAAGATTTAACATTTTGTGAGAAAAAATGAGTTCAGGATTTATTGTTGTGGTGAGGAATATTTAATTTAAGGAAATGAAAGTAAATGTTAAATGAAATGAATGCACCGCCCCAGGGACATCTGTATAAATTATTTTTAAAAATGAGATTCATAAACTTTAATAATTAGAGTTTAGGCATATTAACTAATGTTTTCTTTCGTGCATTTAAAATATGATTATTGTTTTTCAAAAAAAGAGAAGTATGGCTTTTGGACTCTCTGCTACCAAAGTAATCACTTGGTTTGAAATTTAATGGAGAGAGTAGGACACACAATGTTCACAAAATCATGTTTAAAACAGTGTTTAGTACAGCATCTAGAGCTTAGTAGTGAACTCAAAATTGAAGTCACAGCTTGACCTTATCCCATGGCCAGTGGAATTGATGTGTCTGTTTTTACAGTGGCCATAATTTGGGGCTTGCAAGTTTGTTGGTTTGTTTTCTCTCTCAAATTTGGGGGCCTGAGGCAGTATTTTAATTATAGTCAATAAGCTATTTATCATTTTCATGACATGAGAATCAGCAAGTTTTGTTTTTTCATCACCATAATATACTATCTTACTCTCAGAAATGTGTGATCTTTGTGTCTAACAATGTCCTTTAAAAAAAAAAACAGCAATTTCCATGCTGTAGTTTGGAATTCTAAAAGAACAACTTCACTCCTTTTCACCCACCCCCTCTTTTAAAACATTTTCTCACGGAAATGTCTTGAATTAAACAAACACAAGCAGTTACTGGAAATGTTTCCTATATAGTTGTTTTCAGATATATCAGTTCCATTTGTCTTTCACATCGTGGTTTTTTTTTTTCCTTTAGCTTTGCTGATAATTACAGTTTTTAATCACATTATGAACTAAGTTACCCTCTCAAGTATGTCAAATCCTGCTTTATTATGAGTCCTTCAATAAAACAAGTTTGTTGATTGAAGGATGAAACAAAAGAGCAAAGGAACAAGAAAAGAATGCCAAGAAAGAAATTACACTTCAGTTCAGCTATATATCTCAGTTGTACCACGCTCCCTTAAATGGAAACACTAATGTCATTTGATTTGTTTTTATTTCTGTAGTCTTGCTAGTAAGAAGTTAGAGAAAACAGTAGTTAATAACAACGACAAAAGTCATTTATATCCAGCTTGGGAATACCTACAAATGCACATGCTTTTCCCAGGGCACTATTTATATTCCCTCCTTTTTAAGCCAAATTCCTCTTGCTTCATTCTTACTGTTAGTATTTGTACAACTAGAAGCCAGAAACCTCAGGTGCCTTGCATCTCTTACAGACATTAAAAGTTGGCAGTATTACATTTAGGACTGCATAGTTAAGATAGACATGCATTTATATATTTGTTTAACTCTTACTAAACTTGTGCCTTTTAAGGACATGAACTGTATCTCCTTTTAATATGTACCTGATGCTTGCAAACAAAATACTGAATACTATGGTGGCTTCAAGAGGGGAGAGAGGAGAGAGATTCCAAAACCCACTTTAATCAGAATCTCTTTCATGTGTCAGTACCTGGATCCAACTGGGGCTGGGTAGGGAATATTCCTCCTTCTAACAAAATGTTTGAAAATGACTATCAAGTAGAAAAGTTTAGTATTTTATGAACAGCATTCTGTCTATTTCCCATCATTTCAGAGGACTAGAAACAGACTTAGATCATTCATATAGCTATTCATTGACACACTAGAATTAAAATCCTTTGCTTCAACAGTGCTCTTTAGAGTATACCATAGCATAGCTATTATTAGAACCTAGGAGAATTCCTAGATACTATCTAGTACCTGATAGTGGTAAGCATTCAGTAATTGTTTATTGCTTTATGAATGAATGATTCATAAGATGATTTTTAGTTAATTACCCCCAAACCCAGTTCAAATAAAAACTATCATTTATATAAAAGACGTAGCCATAAGAGCTGAAACCTTAAAAAACATAGAAGAAACCATAGGCAACACATTCCACAACATAGGCTTGAGGGATATCTTTGTGGGTTTGTCAGCAATGGCAAGGAAAACAAAAAAGAATTTAAACAGTTGGGGATATCAAATGAAAAAAGGTTCTTCAGAGCAAAAAAAAATTGTCACTAAAAGAAAAAGGCATCCCAGGAATGGGATAAAATATTTGTATACCATACATCTGACAGATCTCAACTCAACAAAAAGAGTCAGAAATGAGCTGCAGTACTAAACATATGCTTCTCCAAAGAAGACAGACAGGTAACCAACAAGTACATGAAAAATAAATGTTCATCTTTATTTACTGTCAGGGAAATGCAAACCAAAGCCACAGAGAGCTACTACTGTACACCTATGAGAATGGCCCACATCAAAAAGACCAAAAACAAGTGTTGGTACAGGATGTGGAGAAAAAGGAACCCTCCTCATACTATGTTGGCGGGACTGTAGACTGGGCCAGCCCCTGTGGAAAATAGTAGGGCATTTTTCTCAGAGGATTGAAAATGAATCTTCTGTATGGCCCAGAAGGATCCATTCCTGTGTCTACCAGAATAAAAAAAAAAAAACAGTTAGAAGTGAAATATACACTATTCAGTTCATTGCAGCACTATTTATAATAGCTGTGATATGAAACAATCTAAGTGCCCAACAACAGATGAGCAGATGAAGATGTGATATATGTACACAGTGGAATACTCTTCAGCTATCAAAAATGATAAACTTACAATTTGTGACAGTTTGAATGGAACTGGAGGGAATTGTGTGAAATGAGTAAGTCAGAAGGGCACAGACAAATACCCATGGTGATATTTGTATGTGAAATACAGAGAAACAGAACAAAGGGTCAGATAAAGCCAAACTAATAACAAACCCTAAAGATCTGATGGCTGGACTACCAGTGTAGGTTGAGGATAGGAAGGGTTCAGAACAAAGTAGGGAGGGAACACTGTGGGTATTTTGGCAGTGGGCAGGCAGATCCTCTACTTCTTAAACACAACATTGTAAACCAGTGTTGTTAACTCAATAACAATATAAAAAATAAGGTTGAGGAAGATGATGGTAACTTGGACTCGAAAGGTGTGATTGAAGGAGCCCAGTCAGTGTGTTTGATGGATATTTGCATACAAAAGGACCCAGTGATTGGTTGTTTTATGAGGAATTGGGAGAACCATTATCTGTTCATTCCTAAGCCCTTTAAGGAAGCAATTCATTAATGTACATCCTAACCCTATTTGAAAAAAAAAAATGTATTCTCCAGTTTATAAATGAGAAAACAGAGGTCAGTGAAAGGCAGAGTTGGGAGTTGGACACACATAGTTGGGTCAAGTCTTTACTATTTTCTTTATATATGCATACAGAACTGGGATACAGGCCAGAGGTGCCGGGGGTGGCGAGGGGATTCACCAGAGACAGAATAGGGAGCAGAACAGACAGATCCATGAAGTACACTGCTGAGGAGAGCAGTGGGTGGCATCAGGAGAGGTCTGCTGTGCCATGTGGGTCACCTCCGGGGCTGGGTCTTAAACTCACATTGAAGCAGCTGCTGCCAGCTTACAGTGCTGTCTTAACCCGTTGCGCCTCAAGTCCTTATTCTTGACCACTCCACTCCAATGCCCTCTGTGTACCTTGGTGTCTTGCTGGCTTCAGAATAGTGGTGTCATTCAATGAGATGGAAACAATAGGAGAGAGTGGGATGTGCAGGGAGTCTGAGGGTGGGGGGAAGACTTAGATTTGGACTTACCGAATTTGCTTGTGAAATGAAATTCTTCCTGCAGTCACTTCCACCTTCATCATCTCCTCATTTGCTTGAATGTTACCTCCCTGAGGTGGTTTACATCTTCCTAAAATTGCATCCTCTCTGTGCCCTTATTCTTTCTTGCTTCTTTCCTCCACAGCATCCATCACCTCTTAATGTGATGCATATTTTACTTACTTGTCAGGCTTAGTGTCTGTCTCCTCTTTGAGAATATAAGTTGTTTCAGTTCAGAGGTCTTTGTATTGTTCACAGATGGGCCCAAGGGCCTAAACCATGTCTGGTATCTGGTATTTGAAAACAAATATTTGTTGAATGGATGAAAACCATTATTTTTTAAAATTTATTAATTAATTTTTTTTATTACAAAGTTTATTTTTACATCATTTTGCACATTTTTTTTCCATCTCGATTGTAATCCCCGCAGGTTTCCCATCACCAAATCACCCCTGTGCCACCACCATAGTCCCATGCATTTCACTCCCTTCCCCCCCCCCCATTTTTGATCCCATTCCCCACTCCGCCCCCACAGAATGTCTCTAGTATATGGTTGTTCATTATTTTTGTTATTTTCTCGCCTGGTCCATTATACTCCTGCTATGAGTGAAACCATCCAGTATTTTTCTTTCTCTTTCTGGCTTATCTCACTAAGCATGATCTTTTCCAGCTCCATCCAAGTTGCTGCAAAAGACATGTGTTTCTCTTTTTTGGTTGCTGAGTAATATTCCACTGTATATATGTACCACATCTTTCTAATCCAGTCATCTACTTTTGGGCATTTGGGCTGCTTCCATGTTTTTCCAATTGTAAATAAAGCAGCAATAAACATGGGGGTACAAGTATCTTTTTCAATCAGTGTTTTTGTGTCTTTTGGATAGATACCTAGGAGTGGGATTGCTGGGTCGTAGGGAAGCTCCATGTTTAGCAGTTTGAGGAGCCTCCAGACAGTTTTCGATAGTGGTTGTACTAGTTTGCATTCCCACCAGCAGTGCAGGAGAGTTCCTTTTTCTCCACATCCTCGCCAACAATTGTTGTTGCTAGTTGTTTGAAGATGTGCCATTCTCACTGGGGTGAGGTGGTATCTCATTGTGGGAAAACCATTATTTTTTAAGTAAAAAAAAAAAGACAACTGTCATTTTTCGTGATCCCAATGAAGTGTTGGTATCTTAGAACCTTGAATTTGGCCAGTAGGAGTAAGCCAACCATTATGTCTAACAGATTGATTTTTTTCTTTGTTAATCTTAGGATCACCTGCTGTTACCAGCTACCACTCATAACAAGACCACAAGACCAAAGATGTCAATTGTGTTACCAGCAATAAACATAAATGGTAAGTTCAAATTTTAGGTGATGAATGACATGAGATTCCTTTGCTTAACTAACATTCTCTGGTTTAACTTAGACATTTAAAACATTCAGTTGGTCTGGTATATATATGTGCATTAATTTTGAAACATTTCCCACTGTTCACAAAATACTACTTTTAACTTTTCCTGGTCTTTTCTTCTCATATTTTAAAAGGACAGGCTTACTAGGAAAAGGAGAAATACAAAGAGAAATGGCCAGGAGAGTCACCCCACCCCATCCTCTTTTTAAATGACCCTTAACAATTAAAAGATAGAGGTTAGAGATATTTTTTAAAGATAAAATACACTTCATTTACAACATTAAAATGTTTGCTTCTTGACTGCTTTTCAGACTTGTCTGGGGCCTTTCTGGCTGTACATGCAATAAAAGAAGTCCCTGCTGTGTTTTCAGAGTGAATTTGTAAAAATTCAGAGTGGTTTCCTATATTATGTAAATAGTGATATGATTCTCAAACTAAATCTTAAAAGTCTTTCATACATTTAATCTATATGCTGATAAATTAGTGATAATTTTACTGTTGTAAAACAAAATACAACAGTGAAATTATCACTAATTTATATTACGGCAAACTAATGAGATAGTGTTTTTCTCTATTTACCTTGACCACAGCACTAATTTTTGGAAGTGAGTCTTTCATGGATTTGAAAAATATAATTCTCAGAGGATTATTTCCTTTTTTTTTTTTTTTAAGATTTATTTACTTATGCATACAAAACTGGGGTACAGGCCAGAGGAGGCACAGAGGTGGTAAGAGGATTCACTAGAGACAAAGTGGGGAGCAAAACAAAACATGCCCACTGACGAAGTACTCTGCTGAGGGGAGCAGCAGGCAGGTCAGGAGAGGTCTGCCACGCCATGTGGGTCACCTCTGGGGCAAGGATCGAACTCATGCTGAAGTGCCTTTAGCTTCTTAGTGCTGTGCTTTAACCTGCTGTGCCACCAGGGAGGGCCAGATTGTTTCCTTTTTAATCAAATTGGATTTCTTATAAATAAATTTTGTTTGGTTCCTGTTTAGAATATAGTAAACTATTAGAATAGTTAAGGTTGAAGTTCAGGAGTAAATGTTGTGTGTCAAGTCTGGTGCTATATCCTCCCCCGCTTTCCCAAACAGTCCCTTCCCCTTCTGGCCTAACCAATAAAGCCTGGCTTGTCCTCTACTACTTGGACTGCTAAGCCTGCTGGTGCAGTGTATGGTTTCCTTGCTCCCTACTGCAACATCCAGAATCTCTTTCCTTCATTCTGCCCACATTGTTCTGGTCTGTAACATCATACGTGACTCTACTTCCCCTCTTGTTGCTGTGTTCTGCTGCACCTACTCTGTGACTCTTTACCACCATTTTTGTCATCCACTGTGTAATTTTATCCACACAGAGGCTTCATTGAGTATTCTGGGCTCTTTTGAGCCAGTCACCTTTTATTCTGAGCCACCTCATTGTCATAATGTCACCTTTGGATCTGCTGTTCCAGCTTCTCACTCCATCTTACTTTCTTCCTGCAACACACTTATCCATGCTGTCCACCACCCTAGTTAAACCTAAACTCTCATTTGATGACTGCTCACAAGCAGCTGAAAAGTAACAGAAAATACCAAACAGTCAGGGCAAGCGAGGCCCTTCAGATTTCAGACCATTAATCCCAAAGGGGCTTTCAGTCCTCCCAGTCATTGCTAGTAAATACACTTGTCCTTGGTCTGACACAAGGACTTCTCACCTTTTCTTCTCAAGTTGTTCTGAACTGCTGAACTCACCTGAAAAAATAGACATCCTCACATCAGTGCTACTTCCAACATTCCAGCAGCCTCTACACCCACAGTCTATCTTACCTCTCATAGCATTGGAAGAAAAGTCCTTCTATTTGGTTCTAAATCCCAAGCTTGCCACTTGTGAGATTGTGCTACTTGTTGGGCATGTTAGTTAACTTTCTGTACCCCAGCTTCATCGTCTGAATAAAGGAGTCATTATTAATATCTCCTGTTAGAGCTGCTACAAGAATTCCGTGAGTAAAGATGGTTTGAGTAGTGCCTGGCTATTTTCAGGTTAGTCACTGTGTTACCACCTTTTTCATTGTTGTCATCATCACCCTCTAAGATGAAGCCTTCTTTTTGGAAGCAGCACCCACCTCCCTCTCAGTGTCAGAGACTTTGCTCCTGCGTACCTTTTTCATCATGATCATTTTCTCTCTACTGGATCCTTTCTGGCTACAATCAAAATGTCTCAGTGTCACCTTTTGGTCTAGGACACTCTTCCCTCCACATCCTATTTCTTTAAGGGTCTCTTGGCTCTTCATAGGGAAACTCTGAGTTACTTGTACTCACTGCTGCCTCGGACTTGTCTCTCACCCTCTTTTCTGTTCCCTCTCATGGAGCCTTTGCCCTTTATGGAAATGCTTTTGAGAAAATGCCACTCATGACAAATCTCCCTCTGAAGCCAATGGTGATGTGACCATGCCCATTTTCATCTCACCTGACCTCTCAACAGTGTTTGACATATTGACTATTTCCTTTTTTTTCAGTCCTTCAATTTTTATTTGTAAAAATTTCAAATCTATACAAGAATTGAAAGATGAGTACAGAGAGTATCTGGAGACCATTTACAAAGATTTCTCCAATGGTTAATATTTTCCCACATTTTCATCTCTATTTGTCTATCTACACTGACATGCTTTTTCTAAACCATTTGAGAATAAGATACAGGCATGCTAATACTTTATGTCTCAATAAATCTGATTTCTTAAAAAGATGTCATGAGATACCAAAACATTGGAGGCAGGGAGTTATTCTAAATGAAAGAATACCAAAGGGGGTGTGACAGATGGATGCAATACATGGTTTTTGATTGGGTTATGAGTTCCTCCCTGTCCCCCAAAAGCAAGCACAGCTTAGTCTAATCTCTTCAAATGTCAAATAATTAAAATGTATACTAGATTATCTTTCTGTCACATTTGTTGAGAGTTGGAATGGACTGTAAAGAGCAATATGACATTATTAATCTCCTTTTCAACAATTGTTCTATAAAGGAAAATTTATAGAATTTTTAATAAGCCAAAGGTCAATCTTTTTATTAGACATAGGAATTTGACAAGCTGTGCTATAATCATATTATTTATAATCTGAAGAGTATAGTCATATAGAAAGACTATATGTTTATTGAAAGAGCAGAGGTGATATGAAGAGATCTCTACTAGCAAATCACTTCATCCTGCACAGTACAGGGATTTAGGAAAGTTAAATATGATATATTTTCTATCACTTCTGAGTTTAAAAGTTGCATATAAATTGGAAAGAAAATGAGCTGTGGTTTTTATTCTTCTCTCTGACTTAAGTGGAACCTGTAGAATTTTGGAGAGCATGGTAGAAAGCAGAGTCCAATATTATTGAGCAGTTGGTTTATATAGTACCCTAGATAGGCATACTTAGGAAGAAGTATTTGAATTTCCAGTTTCAGCAAAGCAAATTAGATTCCCAGGTCAATGTCTGCTCTTGTAATATACTGACTACTATGTCATGGCTCTGAGCTAGAGAAAAAAGTTTGAGAAATAGGTAAAGTGAATAGGATATGATATGGATATGAAATTAATGCTATTTAGAAAACACTACTTGCATCATTCTATATTTTCCATCCCAATTTAATTTTTATGGTTTATTGTTTTCCATTTTGTATTTTCTCTTTTGTCTGATAAGAGAGTTGAAAACAGATTAGTGAAACCTCAAGATAGTCTTTGTCTGAGGAAGTCTTACTCTGAAGATTATTAAAGTAACATAAAATGCTAGGTGTGCTTTAAAAAAAAACTTGAAAAAATGATTGCAGATGGTTGGCAGGGCAATGGATAATGGATTAAAAAGCTATTGCTATTTTTTAAAAAGGATTTTGGAAGTTCTTAGAGTATAAATCAACATTTCCTGCTTTTAAGTTATTTCCATTCATGTGATAGTTAAACTACTCATTTCCTTTCTTTCACTCCTGATAAATAATTCAGCAAAATAGGAGATTATTTTTTAATGGTAGTTACTTTGTAGACATCCTTCATCTGGGAATGAACACAGCCATTAGCAGTGGGATCTATGATTTTATCGATTTAGTTTTACTTTTCACCTTTCCTCTGTCTGCCATGTCCTTAAACTAGTGTGATGCATCAGTATGGAAAACAAGGGACTTGTATGCATAAATAAATAAATCTTTTAAAAAAATAAAATAAAAACAAAAACAAGGGTCTAAGTAGATCAGCAAGTGACTTCAAGGCTGAACTGTATATTTAATCTCGAAGTCATCCCCAAGTGAAGAAAATCTGGGAAAACTTGTTAGCAATGAAGTACATTTTTAGTTGAAATTCGAAGCAAATCAGCCACATAAACAGAGCAGTATTAATGAGAGAATGTTGCTATCACTGCTTTGGAGGATCACTTTCACAGAAGTGCTATCCCACAGCATACTTCTTTGGAATCTGTCCAGTTCTAGACATCTGCTCCAACAGCCGGGTTGCCTTAGAGTGTGATGTCTTTTCCTCTTATAAGTGAACCTCTCCTTAAAGGCCTGAGGTTATCTTAAAAAACAAAAACAAACAAATAAAAAAGCACAGCATTTTTCATTGCAGTTCATTTCATGGCACTGGTATATATTGCATTCAGATCGTTTGAGTGCAAGGCGTCTTTTAATTTTTTAAAAAATACATAAACCATTCTCTTTATTCAGTACTAAAAATGTAGAAAAATTCCCACATTGAGAATTTCTAGCACAAAAAAGAGAAAAGTCACTTTTTACATAATCCAAAGCATTCTTCCAAAACGCATACACACAGATCTATTAATTATGTGTATCTGGCAAGTAGGATGACTGTTGGATTTAGTATACTAACTACAGTAAGTAATAGCTTCATAAAGATCTAAGTTTATGTTTGAGCCTCTGAGGGGCAGGCTCAGAAGTGCACTGTTGTAGTTGTAATTGGACTCATTGTGATCAGAAGGAA